TCTCCCCTTGTTATTTCTCTTATAATTATTAATAGTAATTTTATATTATACATGAGTTACTGGACTGTTCTTATCTCAACTTGTGGGGTTTACATTCTTTCAGTTCTCCTCCCCATCCCGCTGGGAGGGGAGCGGAAGACGGGAGTGAGCAAGTGGCTGTGTGGTTCTGAGTTACCGGCTGGGCTTAAACCACAACAACTTGGCAGGGTGCTAAGAAGAATACTACTTCAGGATATCAACAGAAGAGTTCTAAACATTATCTGTTCAAAAAAATTGAGTGGAAGACAATATTCTGTACTAAGTTCTATGATTTGTTTCCCTTAAGAGATGAGGCAGCATTCTTGACAACTAGTGTTCCTTCGTAAGATGCATATTGTGTAATTAGAGTTGAGATAGGTGGTGGTTCTGATTTATCACCAATTTTCTATGCAGGTGCAGTCACACGAAACATGCAGCTGCTCTGTTACTGTGTTCTAACAGAGATGGACCCAAGTGAAGAAAAGAAGTTATAAATCAAATCCAGCAAATATTTGAAAGCCATTTCAAGAAACAGGAGGGAGGCTAAAGCAATTATGACAACAAAAGGGAAGAGGTGGAACTGGAAAAAAACAAAACAAAACAGAAAAACTGTTTCCAGTGGTCTTTCAGAAACACTGAAACTGTACTTACTTGCAGTTGGATTCTCACACAGATCGCACCCTCACCTCACCCTTCTAAACTATGGCATATTTTCAGGGCATGGCTTTTTTATATTGGACATTGATTACCTGCTCAGTTCAGGCACACAGCTATGCGTCAGTACTGTTCCTTCTTCAGAATTGGTATTCAAATGGTAAGAGCTAATGGATCAAATTAGATTTCTGCAGAACCAGGCGGTGAAGTAATGCATTTGTAAATTAGACTGAAAACCACTTTGACTCAGAAGACCAAAAGCCATTTACAGCTTAATTCTGATGGATGGTTGCATGAATTGATTTGCTGTGCTATCTCAGTGCTCATCACAGAAGGCAACTGGTCACAACAAACTACCTTATTAGGCATTACTAGCAGAAAAATGAACTAAAGTTGTGCTACATTATTTAAACACTGAACCAACTTTCTCCCTTAAAGATAAGTATTTTATTCCGTACGCTATGTGGAAGTGTGCTGTCTGAGCGTGGCAAGGATTTGATCAAGAAAGCACCTTGGCACTAAAGATTGATTAATGGTTGGTGATTCTTTCCTGTTAGCTTGTTAGCATGTGGTCAACTTCTGTTAGGCTTTATGAAAATTTCAAAATTAAAATAGCGTTTGAAGCTTGTAAGCATCTGTTTCTGAACTTTTTCAGTAAGCACTTACCAGCAGTGTTGCCTCAGCAGTCACAAAGCTCCCTTTCTAAATTTCAGTCTGTTCACTATAAAATGGCCATCCAAAACCTCATAGAATAAACTACTTTTTCTTCTGTAGCAGAAGTAAAGTTCTGTGGCAGCTTGAAAAATAAGTAGCAGGGAGAGAAAACAGGAATAAAACCAGAAATAAGAAGTAGTATTGCAATGCAGACTGATGCTGTTGAGTAGTATTTGTAATTCCAAAGCTGTAAGTCTAGTATCAGGACACTTTGATACTTGATTTTAGTGCAGCAAAAGAGAAGATGAAGCCAGCCTGTTTGGCTAGCAGAGTGAGGTATACTTCAACACTATGCCTAGAATTTTTACCTTAGTTCAGAATGTTTACCTCGGTTTACAAGAATTTGTCTATATACGCAGATTTTTGTGCATTTAAGTTGAACTAAATCTTGTAATAGCAAGATTATGGTTGAAGCAATGCATGGTTCTAACACTACCACATTTGCATGAGCCACTTGAGTAATAGTGAGGGTATTCCAATTCTTGCACTGACTCCGTGATAAAGTTTATCTTGAACAAAAAGCTAGAGATAATGGGCTGTGGCATAGGTTAACAGCAGTATTAAGCTTTCTGTAAAACCAAGGAAAAAATATTTTGCCTCCACTCCCTTGACATCACCAGCCAGACCTAATTTACCTGAAGTCCTTGCTGCAACCTACAGGTCATGAACGGTGTGGATTTAACATCCTATTAGCTGTTTTTCACAGACTCGGGTAGGAGAGTGCTGAAATACTTAGTGTGTCCAAACAGGTAAGATTAATTTGAAGATGTATGAATGTAAATTAAAATACTGACATGGCTTCAGCTTTATCAACTTCTATGATCTTTAAACAAGTAAAGAAAACGTAGTCAAAAATTCTTTAATTACAATTTAAAAGCATATATATTGTTCTACTCCAATAGCAAAATTACTGGAGATCAGCAATAAAATGGATAGGTCAAGGCATTTCATATGCTCAAACACTTGTAAGGAAAATAACTTAGGAACAAATACAGTAGAAAGTACAAGGACAGAGCGCCTTCAGAACCACAGCATCACAGAATGGGCAGAAAAATATTTTAAAGTATACATTATCTTTTACTTGGAACAAAACTTTGTATTGTCAAGTGGCCATATTCATACTCATCTGTTTAATATCTACCAGCTGAAGCTGGCTGCTCAGATAGATAGTAAAAAGTTCTAGCATTTACTGGACTCCCAGTGTGGTATCTTAATCTCAAGCCTAGTCAGTAAGTGTGAAGGTCAACCATGCTAGTCACCAACAGTTTCTGAAGGTCAGACAGCTCATACATGTGAAGACTCGTTCCCTATTGTCCCAGTGAGCACAACTTCTATGGAAAAGTGGGGTTTCAGGGTTTATTTCTTGTTGTTTATTTTGGGGGTTCAGTTTGGGGTTTTTTTCTTATTCTTTTCTAAGTTTCGTTCAGCATTCTTTCACATAGTTATCAGTAGCTGTCTGGATTTTCAGTTCTATTGCAACAGTAGAATTTCATCTTCAGTGTGCATTTAATCTTCAGAAAACGGGTAGTTAGTCAGAATCTAAATCCTGTATCTCTTCATATCCAAATTCCTGTAGAACCTCTTGTTGGTATTTGTTCCATGTTCTTCTCTTGTAACATTGGTCCTCATCACTGAAGCTGTCTTCAGACTCTTAAAAAAAAAAAAAATCAACTTTTAGATGTTTTTTTTTTTTTTTTTTAGTTAAGCAATTAGGTTAATCAGACTATTTTAAGCTTCTTGAGTAACTAACCAAGTCTGAACAGCTTCTGTATTAGGTGAGGTTTGAACTGCGTGTGGCATGCACTGGAAAGGGAGTTAAGAAAGCAGAGGCACTGTTTCACAAGCACGGAGAACCAAGACGCAGATTTCTTCTCAAAACAAGCAATCCTTTGCAATTGCAGCAGCCTGCAATGGAGTTCTCAATTTTGACTTTGCAAAAACACTAACAGCCCTTCTAGTTCCAAGACAGATTACCCTTCTCTAAGCAGATTTAACCCATTACAAGAGCAGAACACTACCCCAGCAGTGCTTACTTACTTGCTTTTTTAGAGATGGCATGTAAAAAAGGATGAGATTTATATGTGCACAGTATGAAAGCAAGTGTTTGTGACAGGCATACCTTTTTCTCCATCATCATCTTCCTCAGGCAAGAATTCATCTTCATCAGGATAATCATTACGCCAGTTATTTTCGTCGTTTTCATCATCTTCATCTTCATCTATTTCCCCTGGAATGTGATCATCATTTACCTGCATGTCAACATAAAAGATAACATTCACTATAAATACGGACACTTAGCATTACACTGTTTTTCATTCACCTATATCACCCTGTACAGGTAATAAAAGAGCCAAGAGATACTTGTCTACTGCATGCATAAGTATAATTCTGCAGTTGCACAAAGGGCACTACAGAAACATTTGTGTTGTCAGTATGTGACGTTTGTGTTGTCATAACACTGCTATCTGCTTTAAGTGAAAAATCAGTTAAGTCATGCATTTACTTCAGAATTTAAATGCTAAGGTTAATGTCTAAATTAATGCTACTCATGTCAGCAGTAGTGTAATACATCAAGGAAAAGAAAGTAATTTCAGGTTCCTAACCTGCTAATCCATTCATCACAGTATCTATACAATGAAAGACTAAAGCTTACATTAAACTTCCTAACTCCACAGCCACTGAAGGACAATTATATCTCATATTAAAGTCAATCCCTAAAATATTGGAAAAAGCGTATGTCTCTTTGCTCCTTTTTCCACATAACCACATTTACAACATTTTAATCACTGCCTCCTAATCACAAATGAGACATGTATTACTGAAGTTTTCATTTGTGTGCCGAAATTTATTTGGCAATTTGAAGCCAGAAACATTCTTCTGAGTACATGAGCAATATCCCTTTAGTTTTCATTGTCATAACATAATTTGCTTGAATCAACAGTAACCTGCAGGAACACAGGACTGGCAGTTAGAAAAAGCCCAACACAGAAGTCCCTGACTATATGGGTAGTATCTCAAAGGATCTTTCTTGGCATGGCAACGTTTAATGATAGGACATCAAGAATGTTTATTTGTCAGCTTTCTATTTAAGAAAGCTGTTTTCCCACAGCCTTACCAGTTCATATTCTTCTCTGTAGGGCTGTACAGAAAGAATATTTTGGATCCAGCCAGGGGCTGATGATTCCATGTAGTAGATGTCATAAACATACTCATCTTCCTTCTCACGGTGTTCTTTTTTACTATCTTCAGAAACATGTAAACGCTCACGGATCATCTCTACTGCATTGCAGAGGATCACATCGGGGTCAGTTTTCTGCCGAGAAAAAGTAAAAAATGGCTATCTCCACTGAAGCCACAAAGACAAAGTCTTAGTTACAGTCAAGTTTCCATTGTAGACAGTAGCCAACAAACAGCTAGCTAAGGATGACAGTCTGAAATCTTAAACCAAAACACTTCCCCAGTGTAATGCTGATATTTAGAACATTAGCAAGCTAAAATAGAAACACAAAAAAATTTCCAATTACTGCATTTCTGTGCAGCCATGCCTTATTTCAGGTAATATCAGAAAGCTTCTAGGACAAGTCTTTAGAATCTACTGAAGGGAATACAACTAATCCCGTAGAATTGTTCATCTGTTTCTAATGACATGTTGGTTGAAAAGGCCAGTCTTAAGCCAGCCTGTGCTTTGTACAGCATTACACTTGGAACACTGCAGGAAAGAAGTGCATTCAGCAGCATGGATAACATGCAAGCAGGTTACAGTGTACAAAGTGTGGAGAGACAACGAAAATGTGACATATTAACAGGAAAAGGCTGACCAGCCCTTCGGATAAGTTTTTTATTTCCGTTATTTCCTCACTTTAACATTAACAACAGAAGACATTTCTTCATGCTTTCTCCTTCCTAATAAATTATTTGCCATGTATTTGCTTTAGTGACCTGCACTTGAAGGTCTATATAGTCAGGTTTTTGCTGCTTTTTCTCTGCTAGAGCTTTTCAGAATATTTTGTTCAATCCACAGCCTTGTCTCCTGACCTACTTGGGTAATTCTGAGGAACAGCTACAGACCAGCCTTTCATTCACCCCTAAATACAGAATGAAAAGAAAGCTTACTTCTTGCTTTCAACACCTACTGCTAGCTGTAAGAGTACACAGAAAATTTTGATGCTACCTCAGTTTCATTTCTGTTTTTCTAATCAGCAGAGTGATTGATAACAAGTAATATCTCGAATGCCTGTTTGAACTACCTGCTTAATAGAAAGTGAGAGTTCACATTAAAGATTGATGGCAAAGCCCTGGAAGAACCTATAGAATGGTGACAGCTGGTTAGGTTCTTCCTCACCCAGGTTACCTTTTTTAACATCAAGCATTTAAGTTTTCCTCAGAGCTCTCATGGGCTGCGTAAGTAAAGCATCCATGTGTACTTACATACACTGAAGGTACTAGAGAAAGCATACACAGCCCTCTGACCTTCTACATACAAAACCTTAACACTGTATACAGGGCAAGCTACACAGAACACAGAGCTTCTTCATACTTAAAGCTGTGCAGTATTAAGCAGAATAGCTGCTTAGTATCTGAGAACTGATAACATACTTAACTCCTAATACCAATGAAAACAGGATGTAGTGGTTTAAGTAAGTGTCAAACCATAGAATTCTTAAATAAAACCTTATATTGAAATTATGAGAAGGGGAAGCTCAAAAGTATCGTTTCCTGGAGTGAATCTTGCCTACAAGTGACACTCCTAATCATCTGTATAGATGACACTGAATTAGATTTTTTTTGTTCTCTAGGTAAAGAAGTTAATAAAAAAACTCAGAAATCCACCCAGCACATGAACCTGAAAGTTTATACATCAGAATAGGGTACAGAAAAAACAGGGTAGTACAAGCCCTTCCTGCAGCAGCCAACTTTAGATGGCTGTCTCAACATTAGTGCACTTAAGGATCCTTGTGACAGTTCCTCCCAGTACAATATTCCAAGTTGCAAATATCTAGTTCAAGCTCCTAGTAAATAGCAGAATACTTAAAACATAAAAAAACCTTCCACAGCAGTCAGTCTGCCCACATGTACCAGTCAACAGTGATATCAAAGCACTTCAAGTACCCTTTGTTCGTTTCCTGACCTGAGGGTTTGCAGCAGTTATGCTGGAGTCTCCCACCACCTCTTCTTGTACAATATCAAACAACTGGAATTGCCCACAGCAGTCCAAACTGTCATTAACAGCACTGCTGTCCTTTCGAGAACCATCTTCCCTTGCTTCAGAGTCTGATCTGTCGCCATCAATCGATGCCTCACCGTTTACGACAGCTGCAATGTTTTGACTACAATTAGGTCGGTTGTTGGCTATTACACGGTAACGGTTTTCCTTCCTTGTCTCTTGTTTGGAAGAACGGAGTTCCTTAATGATTCGCTGAGTGCTTCCTAAAGAGGGTCGCAGGCTTTGAGCTGCTTTGTCTCGAGTGATCCCTTCCTGAACGTATTTATGAAATGGTTCATTCTGAGTAGAGAAGCAAAACAGAGGAGAAATATAATGATATCATCAACACAGTGTTTTATGTTGTTTAATAAGTTTTAAGTTGTTTACGGTGGTTAATAACTATTACTAGGGCTTCCTATTTGAGCACTGCAGTGCCAGTGTTCCTAACAACATTCAAGTAACCTCTTCTACTGCTTTAAGCAACACAACTATCGTAATTCTTGAAATTCTTCACTATGAGCATCATAAGGCCCTGGCACAGGTTGCCCAGAGAAGCTGTGGCTGCCCCGTACCAGGCCAGGTTGGATGGGGCTTGGAGCAACCTGCTCTAGTGGAAGGTGTCCCTATCCATGGCAGGGGGTTGGAAATAGATGAGCTTTAAGGTGCCCTCCAACCCAAACAACTCTGTGATGCAATATTCTCTCGATATGAAGGCAAAAAGTATAACGTACAGGACAGCCCTCCAAACAAAACCACATGCCTCTGGAAGGCTGGCGATGTCCAGTCTGTGATGGTCCTAAATTTAAGGCAATCTCCTAAAAAGACCTGTTCCCAAGGAAGACCAGTTTTATTCAAGATAAAAGGCCGTACAGGGTTAAGCTTCACCACCTCAAACAGCAGACATTTAGGCTTAATTTACTGAGTACTCTGTGGTCTGTATGTGAAGAGCAGTTCGTAAGTATGGAAGAGCCAGCGTGGAACAGAGCTTTTCATGGTGGTCACTCTGCACTATGTTCTTTAACCAGCAAACAGCCCCTTTCGCAGGCAGATACGGCCGGCCTGGCGGCAGGGAACAGAAGGCCGCCGGTTTATCAGGACAGGAGGGAACTGAGACGCTACCCAGGCTACTAGCCAGAACTTCCCATCCACAAAGGATCCTGAGCTTACTGCGCTCAAAGGCCCCTTCAGGAGCACAACGAAAAGCCCCGGCTGGACCAAGCCGCTCCCGGCCGCCTGAGGCGCGGCCTTCTCCTACATCGGCCCCGGCGGCAGGGCCGCGGTACCTTGGAAGACACAGTCGCCACCAGCTTGAAGAGGTTCCTCTCTACCGCCTGGGCGCCGCCGCCATCCT